GAATTCCTGAGACGTCCGTTGAGGTACATTCGATTGTTTTCGCCGTAAATTCTTCGTCCGAACTCGGATTTGAGTGATTCCAAGTGCGTTGGAAGCTTGACAAAGAGTTAGATCAGCTCCAATGGTTGGATTATCTGTAGAATGAACGAGACACGAAGGGCGTTGTTCTTTTTGCAACATCGCGGGGCTCTCGATTAGCCCGTGCCTTTGTTATCCCGAAATCCTATCAGCTCACGTAGTTCGTCGATTCACTTCAATCGTTCATCGACATCAATCGAACTCCTGTGGATCGGATAGTGACGTTCATCGTCGCTCTTTAACACTGAACCGTTCGTGGAGACCTATAGGCAATTTTCGATGCCTACAGATACCCCCTCCAAAGCGTTCCGTTATAGAAGAGGCTGGAATACTTTGGATGTGATTGGTCTGGCCTTCAGTCGGCGTAAGGACCTGTAGTTAGCTTCAACTCTTGGCTCCTTCGATTTTCGGTGTATTCGATGCTTTGACGAATAGCCGAAGTTCTTCCGGCGCTGCGTTTATCGCTTGGCCGTCGTCGGAGTCTCGAGTCTGCAGCTGATGAATTGAGTTTGGCTCGTGTCATTGAGTTGACTTTGAACTACCTCCGTCACGTTGTGTTGACTTAGGGTTTCAGATCATCGTGTGTTGACTTTTTGTCGCAACGCTTTGACTGGCGTTGACCTAGGGTTACGCGTTGACCGGCATTGACCCTTAGGGTTTCGAATCGTCAAACGTTGACTTGTGTGGCAACGCGTTGACTGACGTTGACCTAGGGTTACGCGTTGACCGACGTTGACCCTTAGGGTTTTGAATCGTCAAACGTTGACTTTGGTTGCAACGCGTTGACTGGCGTTGACCTAGGGTTACGCGTTGACCGGCGTTGGCCCTTAGGGTTTCGAATTGTCGAACGTTGACTCTGGTTGCAACGCGTTGACTGACGTTGACCCAGGGTTACGCATTGACCGGCGTTGACCCTTAGGGTTTCGAATCGTCAGATGTTGACTTTGGTTGCAACGCGTTGACTGGCGTTGACCTAGGGTTACACGTTGACCGGCGTTGACCCTTAGGGTTTTGAATCGTCAAATGTTGACTTTGGTTGCAACACGTTGACTGGCATTGACCTAGGGCTACGAGTTGACCGGCGTTGACCCTTAGGGTTTTGAATCGTCAAACGTTGACTTTGGTTGCAACGCGTTGACTGGCGTTGACCTAGGGTTACGCGTTGACCGGCGTGGACCCTAGGGTTTCGAATCGTCAAACGTTGACTTTGGTTGCAACGCGTTGACTGACGTTGACCTTGGGCTACGCGTTGACCGGCGTTGACCCTTAGGGTTTTGAATTGTCAAACGTTGACTTTGGTTGCAACGCGTTGACTGGCGTTGACCTAGGGTTACGCGTTGACCGGTGTTGACCCTTAGGGTTTTGAATCGTCAAGCGTTGACTCTGGTTGCAACGCGTTGACTGGCGTTGACCTAGGGTTACGCGTTGACCAGCTGTTGACCCTAGGGTTTCGCGCATCGAATGTTGATTGGTGTCGATTTTCATCAAGACATCCAATAATCGACGAAAACGGGCGAATTCGGGCCTAATATAGGCGTACGAGGACAAAACGGGACCCGAGACACCCGTGGGTGTCTCAACCTTGGCCGAGACACCCCCCCTTTTTGTCCTTTCTTTTGTTTGTTTCCCCTTTTTTTAACTTTCTCCCTTGTTTGTTTCCTCTTTTGTTTCCCCCTCTTTTCAAAATTCAAAAAGATTCTCTCTTAAGTTTTTAAACTCTTTCTTCTTCCTCCATACTCCATACACCATTGTTTCTTTTCTTTCAAGAACTCAAAACCCATAAACTCCCTAAAGAAGTTTCGGATTTTTGGTGTTTTCTTCTTGGCCGAAAATACCCTCTCCTCCAAGCTAGGGTTTCATCATCTTCAACCTCAAGCTCAAAGAAGGCTTCTTGATTTGGTAAGTTCCCCTTCAAAACTCTCCTCTTTTTCAAGAAAGATCATAGTTTTATGTTCTCATGAGTTAGAGGATAGGCTCTTTGACAATGGGTTGTGTAGGCACAAGAATTTGGGGGGTTTTATGCAAAGTTACAAATAGGGCCGAAATTTTGGGGGGTTTTATGCAAAGTTACAAATAGGGCCGAAATTTTGGGGGGCTTTGTTGCAAAATTGGACTGAAATTTGTAGGGGTTGGACTTTAGACCCGCTTGGTCACAACTTTGAGGGGTGCTTTATGCAAAGAATCAATGTTTGTTTAGAGGGGTTTATTTGCAAAAAGCAACCCACAAAGTGTAGAGGGGTTTATTTGCAAAAGGGCTGAAATTTAGGGCTGAAATTCCAGATATGATGACCATGACCCAACCCGGGCGTGTCCTTGACCCGAATTTTGGCCTTGAACACGAAGGGTATTTTGGGTATTCACCGCGAAAATGACAATCATTGTTTCGCAGGCACGAAATTTGTAGGTTTAACTAGACTTCAATTATGAAATCCTATTTATGCATAGGATTTTAATTAAAGTTCTTAATTTTCCTTTTAAATTTCGTGTATCCATATTTTAGATTGTGCCTGACTTGCTGCTTTTCGTTGTAGATTTCAATGTCTCCACGCCGATCTCGACCTCGTAGGAGTCGTTCTCATTCGCAGCACAGCGAGGAAGAGGTTCCCGCTACATCTTCCCCTGCGGCCTCTTTCTTCGGGGGTGAGAATATATATATTTTTTCTTGTATCCCTGATTGACCTCTTTGCGGGTCATGAAGGAAGAACCGACACCCTCCTTTGCGGGGGTTAAGGTTTCAGACTTGTCTTGCTTAGCCAATTCAAGTCTTTTGGTATATTGGGGTGATTTTGTGTCGTCCTACACATTATAGTTCGGTGTATGTTACCACGTTATTCACGTGATGATGCATACCGTTCTTCCAGTGTAGGACACTCAAAATCGTCTCTCCAATTATTCCGTGAATGAGCTTATCATTCTTCTTATGAATTTTCTGACTCCACCCTTGTGTTTTATTGCAGTTGAGTTTCCCGCGGGTAGCCTTCCTGCTCATGTCAACACTGGTTGTAGCCGGGAGGTCTTCTCTTCAGCTTCTCTCAGGCAGGCCGTTGGTCCACTCCCTCGGTTTGACAGAGATCGCCCCGATGAATCCTGTCGTCTGATACGGGAAGGAGGGCGTCATTGCTTGCGCCAGCTTATTACGGATGCCTCCTTCACTGCGGATTCCACCTCTACTCAGGCTTTAAAGAAGCCGAGTTTCCTGTTTGGAGACCATGTCGAGGATCCTGCTACGTTGACCCTTGGCGAGGAGCACTGGCTAACTCTCGACGAGGGAGCTTGTTTGTACATTCTCTCCATTCCGCGTCAATACTCATTCAGTCACTTGAAGGGACAGGCTGTGGAGCGACAGATGTCTTGGCACCTTACTGGTGATGCTGAGCGAGTCCAGTACGGATATGCCTCTCATCACAAGACTCCTGGCTCTAACAGGTATCATGATGTTCGTGGTCTTCGACCAGGGATTATGGGCCTTGACACTGCACCCCCAGGCGAGGTATCAGCAGCTGCTCCTACCGTGAGTAATCGTCTGGCTCTTCTGGGGAGACGGTTACCTCCGCGCTGGGAGAGGGATTTGAAGAGTAGTGGATTATATGCACCCATACGAGCCACCATGTACGGGATCCCGGTCAGCTGCCGCCATTTCTTGGCGTTGCTAGAGACCTACATGCCTGACAGTAACCCCTTTCTGACCAGTGGTGGCGAGTTAGGGTTGGCCTTGCATGAGATGCATCATGTTTCTGGTCTTCCGATGGGGGATTGTCCGTATCAGGAGTATTTTCCCTCGAACCAGCAGTTGGAGTGTATGAAGAAAGATACTCCCGACATGTATGACACTCTCTGGGATCTTACTTGTCACTATTATACTTCCTTGGTCCAGACTTCTCCTCAAGCGAAAAGGAAGAGGCAGGTCAGCTTGAAGCAGTTTGCTAGCTATTTGTTCCAGAACTTGGAGGGTGATTCCAGTGCGCACATTCGTGAATTAGACGTGTTGACCCCTACCGCAATTAATGAGTTGTTGGAGAAGGCTGAGGCTCGTTCTTACACCATTGCCAGTGCTGAGGGAGCTTTTCCTTCGGGAACCAAGTTTCGTTCTTTCCTCTGCCGTGCACAGAAGTCCATTGGGCCCCGGACTCTACTAGCAGGCTACCTTACCCTTTGGTTGAAGAAATGTGTTGTCCCGTACCAGCCTTCAGACGCTTTACCTATCGAGGTGCTCTTCCCTGCAGTTCAGCTAGCTTACGGGAGAGAGCTTTCCCTGCTCCCAGCGATGGTTGCTGGCATCCATTGCGGGCTCAGGTGTCTAGTCAACAGTTTTACCCAGATGAGTTCTGAACCATCGACTGAGCTTATTTGTCCGAAGGTCGAGCTTCCTTATGCATATCTGATGGCGTGGCTCGTTCTTCACCGTCCTGACTTAATGTCGGCGCCCAGCGTTGTTGATGTCCCCGTTCCTTTCATGCAGCTGTTGGAGAAGAGCAGATGGCTCGGGAACAAATTCAGTGATGTTCAACGAGAGCTTCGAGTCCGTAAGAGCTGGGAGTTCTTTAAGTGTTTTCCTCATTTTTCGGGTCGCTACGGTGACGTGCTGATTGACGAGGAGAAACCTAGAAGTGACCGGACCGTTCTCGACGTTGGTAGCTTCCGCTGGTTAGTGAACATCCGAGTTGGGTATCTTGTCCTCCGGGTGAAGAATCAATACCACATAGAGCCTTACCTCCCTTGCCGCTTTGCTCGTCAGTTCGGCTATGACCAGCTATATGTCGGGAATCCAAGCCGTGGTCTGCAGGTTAAGGGAGGACTGATTGATGGCGTACGAGCATGGCTGTGGACTATGGTGGGCTGCACTGGAGCCCACTTTGCTCTTCCTTCATATAGGCGTAAGCCACTGACCACTTTCCTCAGTTGCAAGTGGTTCCTTTCCGCCTATGAGTCCATAGGTGTGAGGAGCCTTTCAGAGTTACAGTCTGAGTATTCGGTGCGGGCTGCTATGATGGCTGCTCGCTGGGCTGAGGTTGCTCAGAAGCGGGGAAAGGGGCATGCCAAATCTCTTCTCACAGATGATGAAGAGCTCCTTCCTACGGGTGACGACGACGAGACCTCCGAGGAAGAATATGTGGATGCAGATACCGACGGAGGAGAACTCGATGCCGGTTTGTCCTGCTTCTTTGATTTTCCCTTCTCCATTCTAATTGGTATAACCGACAGCTCTTGTTTGCTTAATGAAATGACCATTGTCACTTTAGGTAGGACAGTTGACGATCATGAGCCGTCAGCTCCTACACACGTTGAGACGTGTGACAGGCCTGTGCATGACCGACCTGTTGGTTCTAGGAGGGTTGGTGCCCCGAAGAGGAAGAACACCGCACATAAACCCCACGACGGTCAGCGTCCTTATGGAGTGGACTTAGGAAGCACTGCCGATGGAGGGGAAGGTAAGATTTTATCTTTATTGCTTTAAGATGATTTACCTTTTGGGATTCGTGACCATGTTTTATGCTCCAGGGTTCTTCGAAGAGGGTGAGCTTCCACCGGGTCCGGTATCTCCTGGATCCGATAACATGGATTGCTTTATGCAGCAGATGTGCGACGCCCTCCATGACGGGTCTCTGGGCATCGATCTAAACATTGATCTTGGACAAGTGAATAGTGTTGAGTCCACCGTCCCGTATTCAGATATATCTACATCCAATGATACCCTCCTCAATCATGGGGAAGGAAGATCTTCTGTTTTTGCTGCAAATATTTTTTGAGCTTTCTTCATCTTCCAACATTCAGGTTACTCTGTAGATGTCGCGATGGAACGGCCAGCTGAGGATGGAGCCTATCATGATGTAGGTTTCGAGGAGAGAGGGTGTGCTCCTGTACCAAGCTTCTCGAAACCCGATGCTGGCTTGTTAGCTGATATGCTGGCAGAACAGACTACCAGAGGAACCGAGAGACCATTCTTTGGGAGTGATTCCTTCATAGGTATACCTCTGATTCCCTTCATCTCGCCTGATCTGTCGTCTGACTGATGAAGGATTAATATTGCAGCGCCAACCATTGGGATTAGCCCAATATCGATTCCTGGCATATCTAGCTTGCCTCGGAGTGATGGACTTGCAGGTATGCGTGCGATTTAGGGATATCGTACTTCTCTATGTTTATCTGATTTTTTGACTGACATATGAGTGCAATCATAGGACCAGCCACCGGGACTGATTCTCTTATGACTCCTGGCATTCTCCAGATACCTACGGATGACAGACCTACAGGTATGCAGATGACCTTATCATCCCAATTCTCCTTATTTGTCTAAATTTTCATTTTGACTAATAAAAAGGTGCAACTATAGGACCAGCCGCTTGGGCCGATACTCTTATGACTCTTGGCATTCCCGCTGCATCTGAGGACGGTGGGATTGCAGGTATGCATACGATCTTCTTGTCCCGACTCTCCTTATTTGTCCAAATTTCCATTTGACTAATACAGGAGTGTAACTATAGGACCGGCCGTTGGGCCTGATACTACTACAGTTTTCGGAACTGAAAGTCTGCATAGAAGTGACGTCTCCCCGTCTTTGCCGAGTGGTATGAGCAACCTGCCTGCAGGGGTTGATATACCCCCCATGACCACTTCTGCCGCTATCTCAGAGCCTGTCGGACCTCAGCCCGAGGGGACTTCCGTTGGCGTTGGTATGCTCGGAATTTTGCCTTTGAATTCCCTTATCGTACTCGATAATCCACTGAACTTCTATGTTGTTGCTTGTAGGGTCTCGATCCTCTCTATATGAGCGTGTCCGCGTCCTTTTGGTCGATACCGATCCTGACAGAGACGTTTTTCGTACGGACCTCGGCTTCTTCACTGTCTTTTATAACGGCATGATCGAGAAGCTTCTTCATAGAGGATACGGTTTCGATCAGTTCAGGCGTTCTTTTTCTCGCCACATGATGATGATGAGGGAAGAAGGATACCCGGAGTTGGCCGATTCCTTCACTGCCGATTTCGCTGTTCTGGAGTCAGAGATCCGAGAGTTGAAGGAATTGGAGACTAACGGGGCTTCTTCTTTCGTGTCCTCTCAGCTCGAGCATAGGCTGGCTCAGTGGCGTGACCTGAGATCTTCTATCGGATGCGAGCTTCAGTCACACAAGAGCTCCATTGCGCAGCTGATGGATACCGTAGCGAGGAAAGACATGGATAGAGCTGAGCTACTCCGCTCCTCGGACTCGGGTCGCGAGGAAGTGACTAGGTTGAAGGAGGCTTTGAAGCACGCCGAGGAATCTACTGCCCTTATTGCAGATGACCTGGCTGGACTAGAGCGTTCTCGTGAACAAGCACTCGAGAAGCTAGGATCCACCCAGGAGAGACTGATGAAGCTGAAGAGTGAAGCCGCGGAGATTTTAAGCAGTTCTGAAGAATCTGCTCGAGCTGATCTGCAGGCAGAACTCGAGCGGAGTTATGTAGATAGACTCTTTAGTTTAAAGTCTCATGTCCTCGAACGCCAACTGCCTTCGGGCTAACGAGTTTTTCATTGTATGCTTTTGACTTGGTCTATTAATAGAACCTCCGCATTTGCTTCTTTTGTGATCTTTCTGTACTTGTTCTGAATGACAGATTTATGGGATTTTTGGCAAACCCCCAGCCACCAACGGGTTTGATATGTCTTTACCAATTGCCGTTTGAAATCGGACTAGCATGTGAATTATTAAACCCGTCTCACATGTAACGTTGTGCTAAGAAGATTGCTTTTCTTAGACTTGATGCTATGATTTTGAATACATAGACTTAACCATTTCTTATAGGGAAAAGGCACCCCGCACCGCGTATTAGGCGATGACTTATCCCTTCTTAGGTTTCGGGATAAAATTCCTCAAGTTTAGACCTTGGTGTCTTTTTCAATCGGTGAAAGACTAAACCGGCAACGCGTGTTAGGCGTTGACTTTGGGATTTTTGGCAAACCCCCAGCCTTCAACGAGTTTGATGTGCCTTTACCGACTACCGTTTGAGTCGGGCTAGCATGCGGATTGTTTAAGTCCGTTCCACATGTGACGTTACGCTAAAAGAGTTAACCCTTTTAGTGCTACGATGTTGAATACGTAGACTTCGTCTTTCTTACGGGAATAGACTACCCGGCAACGCGTGTTAGGCGCTGACTTATCCTTACTTAGGATTCAGGATAAAAATCCCCAGACTCGAATTCTGGTGTCTTCTTCAATCGGTAAAAGACTAAACCGGCAACGCGTGTTAGGCGCTGACTCATCCCTTCTTAGGCTTCGGGATGAAATTCTCCAGACTGGAATTCTGGTGTCTTCTTCAATCGGTAAAAGACTAAACCGGCAACGCGTGTTAGGCGTTGACTTATCCCTACTTAGGCTTCGGGATAAAATTCCCCGTGCGGGTGAAACACGGATTATGGTGTTATTAATAACAGCCTGCCACAATGTCGAATATGTGGGCTTTTGTCCTTTTTTTTACGGTTACGGACTAACCGGCAGCGCGTATTAGGTGCTGACTCATCCCTCCTTAGGCTTCGGGATGAAATTCCCCAGACTGAAATTCTGGTGTCTTTTTCAATCGGTGAAAGACTAAACCGACAACGCGTGTTAGGCGTAGGCTTATCTCTATTTAGGAGTCGAGATAAAATTCCCCGTGCACCAAGTGCGTGGATTGGAAGTTGAGAGTTGTGTCAAATGGGAGAGGAAGAATTTTATATTCTATCTCCCGGTGCTGAAGAGGAAGAATTTTATATTCTATCTACAGCTGGAAAGGAAACTCAAGGTGGGATCTCCACCCCCAGAATCCGGAAGGGTGAAACTAAGAGTGGGATCTCCACTCCGAGAATCGCAGAGGTTCGAGGAGAGGAAGAATTTTATATTCTATCTCCCGGTGCTGAAGAGGAAGAATTTTATATTCTATCTATAGCTGGAAAGGAAACTCGAGGTGGGATCTCCACCCCCAGAATCCGGAAAGATGAAACTAAGAGTGGGATCTCCACTCCGAGAATCGGAGAGGTTCGAACGACCCTAACTTTTATATGATTGGTCATTTGAACCCAAAGAATCCCTCATTCATTGAGGAGAAAACCCAATTTCAACCCTAACTTTTATAGGTTTGGTGGAAAAGGGGACAAGATGGAAGTCTTTCGTTTATCGAAAGGGATAACTCAATCTTAGTCCTAACTATCTGCAGGTTTGACTAAGTGAAGTTGGAGACAATCCTAACTTTTATAGGTTTGATTGCTCAATTGAAAGTGGACCTCTCGTTCATGAACGGAATCGAGAGAGGAATTTGGCTTTGGCCCTAACTTTTATAGGTTTGACCTGAAAGCAAAGAAAGTGGAATACGGGTAGCAAAGAAAGTTCCAACTCGTATTATCACTTAAAGGAAGACTTTAATGCTAGGTGATTAGGACCTAGCATGTTGAGTCTGAGAAATGCCAATGACGGGCAAAAGGAAGACTTTAATGCTAGGTGATTAGGACCTAGCATGTTGAGTCTGAGAAATGCCAATGACGGGCAGATGGAAATGTTGGTGGACCCACTGTCGTTTAATTTGATCAGCGGATGGTTTGGTGAGGAAAGATTAACCTATCAGAGGATTGGATCTCATCTCACAAAAATAACTCATAAGAGTTAGAGAATTTTGATAATAATAAGAAACATTCTGACATTCGGAGTTCGAATGTGGGTTTCTTATTCATCAGTACTACAATGATTGGGTTATCCCTAAGAATACCCCATGTGGTACTCTTCTGGGAATTTCCCGATACATTGATTATCCTGAAGATACTAAGGATAGTATTTTTTCAGGAACTTGCCGTTTATCGGCATCATAAGCCGGTCACCGTCCTTGGTGACAAGGCGATATGCGCCACTCGAGTAGACTGTCTCCACTACGAATGGTCCCTCCCATTTGGGTTCAAATTTGTCCTTCTTCTTGGAGTTAAGGATCATGGGCCGCCTTTCAGCTAGAACCAAGTCCCCTTCTTTGAAACTCCTTTGTCGAACCTTTTTGTCGAAGGCTCGAGAAATTCTAGCTTGGTAAAGCTCAATATGCTGTTGAGCTTCCAGGCGCTTTTCATCGAGCCTCTCGAGTTCTTCGAGGCGTTTCTGATGTTGTTCTTCGGTCGTCATCTGGGTTGCAAGAGCGATCCGAAGAGACGGAATTTGGATTTCCAAGGGGAGAACGGCTTCACATCCGTATACCAGCGAATACGGGGTTGCTCCTGTCGGTGTGCGCACCGTGGTCCGATAGGCCCATAGAGCCGCGCCGAGCTTGTCATCCCAATCTCGTTTATTGGTTTTCACGATTTTTGACAAGAGCTTGATGATAGTCTTGTTGAAGGCTTCAGCTAATCCATTTGCTGTGGGATTATAAGCTGTTGACGAGATATCCTGAATTTTAAACTTTTCGCAGAACCTTATGAAGGCGTTGCTGACAAACTGAGGACCATTGTCATGTATAATTCGTCTTGGAACTGAATGCAATGACATTGCTCGTTTTAACTTCTCTGAGTGGAACTGTTTCAGCCCATTTGGAGAAGTAATCGGTAATTGCCAGGATGAACCGGTCACCTTTGACTGATGGGGGATTTATTTATAGGGCCAACAATGTCCATTCCCCAAGTCTCGAATGGCCATGACGTAATTGAAGGATGCAGATGTTCCGGAGGTTGGTGCATGTAATTTGCATGTATTTGGCATGCATCACACTTTCGGGCATACGTGATTGCATCACTCATCATGGACGGCCAAAAATACCCCATTCTTCTGATGCGATCATAAAGC